AGCTAATCAATTATGCATGCCTTTGAGGTAGATGCGCGCTAATCAATGTTTTTTCATGAATTTCAATGTGGCATCTTCAACTCAAAAATAACCTCAAAAGACATGTTAAGTCTTAAATTCATTTGAATTCCAAGTATTTGTGCGATAATTTATCGTTAAATTACGGACAAGTATTTCATCTGAGCTCATATCTTGCCTTCTATCTCGATTTGGAGTTGAGGATCTAGTTGTGAATTGGGGATAAATAAAAATCTTACAAGTATTTTAGGATGTCAAAATTATATATTTTATATATTCATTACTTATCGAGGTGGGCCCCGCATCCATGCTTTAAGTTTATTCTCTTTAAAATTTTGAAGGTTATGGGCTATTTCGCGAGCGAGGTGTCGAATTACTTATAGGTTTTATCTGAGCTTATATAAGAGCTATCGAGTCTTCTGTAAGTTAAATTTAGTGCTCAAATTTTATTTTTTATTTTGCAATTTATCTCATCATTTAGTATTTTATATTTTAATGATTTTATTTTGTAAATTTTATTAAAGTCCAATTTTAGTCAAAATTTTAACACGACTCTAACTTCTCCCACATGTAGGAAGCGATGTTATGAGTAAAAAGCTTTCCTAGCACACCAAAAAAAACTTGCATGGTAGGTGTCGTGAGACAACTTAGTCGAGGAGACTTCTAACCCACCACGCTTAAGAAAATGCGCAGAGGCCTTCAATACTAGCATATAAGCACAACAATATTTCCCTACCTCATTGAGATAACGAGTAGATATTAAAGTAAATTTTTTTCGCCGAGTATGAACAACCCAAACGGATACTTTAAAACAGTTTTCCTCACCATGTTGGAATAACGAGAATGGGTACCTATATTTTCCTGTTTTATATTTTAACGAAATGTCGAATTTGAGAGGATGATATGACAAATCTGCAAAAGAATATATAATATATATTATTTATTTTTCTTTTTTTTTTAGGGGGGAAGGAGTAGAAAGAGGAAGAGATGTGGGATAAGCTGGCGGCTATATGGTGGTTAGTTGATGGCTTGCTCTACAAAGAGGAAAATCATCTCTTTGTGCTAAGATGGGGAAATCTATAATGAGAATCAGTCAAAAAACGCCACAATTCTAAATGTGCTAATCATCCATGCATGAAGTGTACTCTTGCTTCATTAAAGACCACTTATTATTTATCCTCAAATGAGGGATGACATGGACTCCAATGTGAGGACATGTCTAGTGTGCCAACAAAACAAGAGTGCACAACAGGTGCCAGCTAGGTCACTTGAACCATTGCCTATACTAAAGAAACCCTGGGAAAGTGCTTTCATGGATTTCATCACTACACTACCTAAGATTGAAGGATATGGAAGCATTATTGTGGTGGCCAATTGGTTCAACAAGAATGTCGCACAAATTGTAGCTCTCATAGATTGCTCTGCCAAAGAGACAACTCTGTTGTTCCTAAAACATGGAGTCAAGATTTGGGAAATCTCTTCGAATATAGAAGGTGATCGAGATCCTTTCTTTCATAGGTCGATTTTGGACCAAATTATTCAAGTTGCATGTCAAACTTGAACTTCACTAGTTTCCATCCTCAGGTTGATGGCCACACTGAGTGAACAAAAACTCTTTTGGAGTTATACCCAAGGCATTATGTAAGTGCTAATCAATGAGATTGGGCAAAGGTGTCTGACATTGCCCAATTATCCAACATTCTCCAATAAAGTGAGGCAATCAATCGAAGACCCTTTAAAACAATAACAAGATAACAACCACTCACTAAAGACTATGAAGGCAAAAGTTCGACAACATTCAAGTTTGCTAAGTCATAATATGAGCAAGTGAAATTAGCAAGTCATCAAAAAGAATAAAGAAATGGGTTGACAAGAAGAGAAGACCCTTGAGTTAAAAAAAAGGCGACCATGTCAAGATGAAACTCCTTCCCCCAAAACTCAGAAGTTTTAGACAAGTTCATTGAGGCTTGATTAAAACATATTAATGCCCCTTCCTAGTCATAAAACACACAAGGAAGGTTCCTTATGAGCTGAAGTTGCCTCCCAAGCATAAGATTCATTTGGTCTTTCATCTTAGCCCCTTGAAGCCATTATTATGAAGACATAAAGGATCCTACTTGAGAAGAGACCAAACGGGCATCAACTGCCACAATGACATCCTTTGACAAAGAAGACAAAATTATACTAACTAACTAGCTCATTGGGAGATGAGGTGTGCCAAAAAATTGATAGTATCTTATAAAGTCAAAGAACTTGCTTTAGCGAGAAGCAAGCTCGAGCACGTGGATACACTTTGGCAATTCCAAAACCACATCTAACATTTCCATGATGGAGGTGCAATAAGGGCTTCATGAGCACATGTGAGATAAAATATCACATCTCCAAAATATTTTACATGGTTCTAAACATTTATAAAAAATCTTAAAGTTCTCTAGAAACTTGGAGATAGTTTTGATATGTAGAATACTATGGCAATTTATGGAATGTATGATGTCCCTAGAGAATTCTAAAATGACTAATATTATATAAAAGTCTAGAATATTCTTGGATGAGTCTCCTAGGCCTATAAATAGGGAGAACCATGGGCGGGGCTATAGTCAACCGACCCATTCCGCTAAGTTTAAAGCTTAGTTCCAACTCCCACTGCATTAAATTAAGTTTAACATTGCACCCACTCACAGGTTCAAGCTAAGCCCCAACCCAATCTTATTTAAGTTACATATAAATAATTATTTATTGGACATAAAAATATTCAAATAATTTATTTCAAATTATAAAGTCTTTTAATATTTAAAGCTACTCAAAAATTACATTCATTACGCTTGCAAGCCCACGTGTTTTACACACTTTTGAAGGTCAACCACAATAACAACAAAAAGCCTTTAATTTACTAAGTGGGGTAGGATACGTGTATCCTTTTTCTCCATTGTATCATATGGAGTGTCATATTTTCATTTAAATCTCATAAATTAAGATCATTTTTTATACAACATACTCAAGTCTTTATAAGTCTACCTCTACCTTTCTTAACATAAGGCGAATTTATCTACTCTCCTAACTACTCTCCTAACTGGATCATCAGATGGTCAACATTTAAAGTGACCAAACCATCTAAGACAGCTCTCTCTAATCTTGTCAGCCACTAGAGCTACACCAACCCTTTCACTAATATATTTGTTTCTCATTTTGTCTCTAAGTTTCAAGCCAGTCATCCACCTAAGCATTCTCATTTCAGCAACACTTAACTTAGTTTCATGCTTCTCTTTAATAAGCCAACATTTTGTGTCATTAAGCATTGCAGGTCTCACCACCTTCTTATAAAAATTTTCTTTAAGACTAAGAGGGTACTTTTCTATCACATAATAGGCTTGATGCATTCCTCCACTTCAACCATCCAACTTGAATTCTACTACTAACTTCTCAATCTATATCACCATTAGTTCGAACAATAAACCAGAGATAATTGAAACATTCGCTCATTTTAATGATTTGATTGCCCACTATTAAAACTCTATCACTAGATCTACTACTAATAAATTACATTTCATGTATGTAGTTTTCAATCTACTCAAACAAAGGCATTTAGACTCTAATGTAGACCTCTAAAATTCAAGTTTTTCATTAACTCTTTTTTTAGTTTTATCCACAAGAAGGATATCATCAGCGAAAAGCATACACCAAGGCACGTTTTCCTAAAAATGTCCAGTAAGAGCATCCATAATTAAAGCAAAAAGATATGGACTTAAAGCCCATCCCTAATTTAATCGAACTAAAATAGGAAAATACTTAGTCAACTAAGCTTCTTAATTTAAGAAAAAAATACTTTGATCCTTTCCTATGTGGGACTAAAGATTAAAAAATAAACTCAAAAGTTTCACAATAGGTGCATTTACATACATGCCACCTAATCCCTATGTGTTTCATTCCCAACATCGTTAAGCAATAGTAAAGATTAGGATTAGAATTAGAGGTAAGATATTCTTTTCACTTGTTTTTGTTATTTGGCAACATTTTAATTCAAATTTTATTATATTTGTAATCTATCATACTTGGTTTAAACATACTACCCATAATTTTCGTCAAAAGTTTAAATAAATGAATTAAAAATAAAAATGATTTCAACATATGAAAACTATAAAGAGAACAAATATAATTAATGTAATTTTTTGTATCTTACATGGCATATATTTATAGGTTATCAATTAGAGTTAAATGAAAATATGACATTCAATAGGGCACAATGGAGAAAAAAGAAACATGTAGCCGACCCCACTTAGTAATATAAAGGCTTGTTGTTGTTGTTGTTGTTGTTATCTAAATGTATTTATTTTTATTAGCATATTTTTTGTAATTTTTTAATATATATTTATCATTTCTCATTAAAAACTTTTTTTAAAAAATTGAAACCCTAATGCCCATCTCAAGCTTAGATGGACAATGTGAAGCATATTTTTAAAATAAATAGGTTGTGCACCCACTAAATAAAATTGCTGTCTCCGCCCCTAGGGAGAACCTCCTCCATTTGTATCCAACCAAGTTTTATATGAGCTTTTTCATAGCACCACAAATCTCATTTAATTCTCCCAGGCTTTCTGTTCTTCTAGCCTTTGCAAGTGTAGGTAAAATAAGCTTCCTTGACAATTGTGATGGCCATGAGTGGCATTAAACTGACATAAGTTTCATTTTCATTCCAAACGCAATTATGAGTCAATTCCTATGCTAGGCTAAGTAAAGCCCAGCTTTTTCTGACTTATAAGATAAGCCAAAATAAGCTAAGCTCACCTCCAACTTTGCGTAAGTTAAGTTTTTATAGCTGCCCTCTTCTCACTTCCACGGGCAAATATGAAAACAATTGGTCTAGGGTAACGCAAACAAAATTGCCATATTTCCTCATTGATGTAAAATTTATCGATCTACAACAATCTTTTAATAAAGAACAAAGCATGTAAGAATCTAAATCGAGGATGAAATTTCTTCCATACCAATAGCAAAAAAGCCAAGCCAGCGACCAAGCAGACAGCAAATGCATACAGTCTCTGTTCAAAAACAGAAAATCAAACTGGGTCGCAGGCTTAGAACTTAAAAGAAAACCCTAGAGGAACATTTCCAAAGGTTTTGTTTCCTTCCGAGGTGAAAAGGAGGGATTGGATGACCTGAAGAGGAGAAAGTGAGCAGGAACAATCGGATCCGATTAAAAAATCGTCTTCTTGATCCTCTTCCCAGCCTAGAAGAGATTGCTGAAATCTCCTCAACTTATCCATCATCCAAGATTTGGGACGCAACAGATTATCAATGCGGAGTTCGATCGAGGCGATGCTTGGGTGCTTGTTTCGCGTTTGCCCGCGGAGAAGCTGAAACTATCCTGCTCCAAGACTTTTTTGTTCCTAAAATTTGAGGGATTTTATGCTTATTTAAAAATAAGTTTAAATAATTAAATAAATTTCACTTCAAATTTTAGCTATTAACCTTTATATTAGATTTTGAAATATATATTAACTTTTTTTTTTTTTTTACATTAAAAATCTATTAAAATATTATAATGTATGAGTTTTTCTTTTAATATTTATATTAATATTTAATATTCTGATGCAATACAAAATATGAATTAGATTGATATTAAATTAATTAGATAAATGTGATTTAAATTTTATAATAAAAAAGAATAAAAGTATTTGTATTGAAAGACAAGATTTCAAAATGGAGCCTTCATGTTGTCTTAAATTTTTTTTAAGGAAATCAATTGATAGAAATTTTACCTCATATGAATAAAAAGATTGTAATTTGCTATTTAAAAAAATCCTAAAAAGCTAATATAAAGTAAAAATTTTATTATTATTTAATTAACTCAAAATTAAATGATTTGAAAATGATCTTATTCAACTCAAATTAATAAATCATGTTCCTCGCATTGGCTTAGCAAACTCATCAAATGCAAGCTGATTCAAGTTCTTCTCATTTACAAATGATAAGCTTTGGCCAGGGGATTAAACAAGCCGACCTAGAGTGATCCTAGTGCTTGTTCTTTTTAGCTCATTTTTTTTTATTTTTCTTATAGTAGCCTCATGTTCGGAATGACTCATGAAACTCGATTCAAATTCTTTTATTCCTTTCAGTCAGCATCAGCTCAAATTCAACTCAAATGATTTAAAATATAATAAAATTTATCGCTTCTAAATGCAACATAAAAAATAAGGATTAAAAATGTTATAATAAATATTATATATTTAATTATTTAATTAATTTGAGTGAAAAATTTTTATGTGACTCAATGAGGCAAACAACAACATTAAAAGTAATCAATCTGATACGGGCACAAATGAGCATAGATTAAATATTAGAAGCATACTTAAAAATTTTAAGATATTAATCAAAGGATGAAATGATGTCCAAATCATACATGTTTATATTCAAATCAAAAGTCTTGATGAGACAAATTCAACATGCCCAAAATTGTTAAACTTTGAGAGCATTAAAATACTCAAATACTAAAAATAATACTTGATAATCGAGAGAATCACACCATGTTATATAAGTTGCATTTTGAATCTTGGTATTTATATGTGTATGTTAGATCTTCATGCAACGCTGGGACACTAAATATTATTCTATCGCCGCGAAGTTTTCGGCACACAACACTTATACCTAAATCGTCTCATAGTAGATACAACTCTAACGATAGGCCTATCTTCTTATACAACACCATTTATAAAATTATCATTACATTGTTTGCTAATATATTTAAAATTAACACATCGTATACTATTCACCAAGCACAAGCTAGGTTCATCTTTGACAGATGCTCTTTATACACCGTCGTCATTGTTATCAAAATTGTTAATGGCTTCAAATCTTTGAATTTGCCAAGAACTAACCAACTTTAATGAAAACTTTTGGCATCCTCACCTCCCATTTTGTGTCATGAATTGGAGCTTACATAAAAATTGTTCATTTTTGTAATATGCATTAATGGCTCTTTGGAAGATTACTTGAACTCCATTATTGACCTCGAATAAAAGTACTCATTTTATCCATATTAATTCTATCTCATCATGCTTAATTTCCCTATTCACTTATGTCAGTATAAGCAGTGTCATTCATTTTTCTCTTATGTTACATGCTAATAATGTTAATCATTTTTGACAATGCCCCTAGATGCAAATTAAAAATCTCTCAAAAATAGATTCAAGATTATTTACTTATCCTTCAAGCTAAGGGCCCGTTTGGGCAACTTATAAGTACGGGCAGCATTTTCAAAACGTTGTCGTACCGTTTGGATTGTGCGTTTTTCCAACTCATTCGAAAACAGCGTTTTGAATCAGTTTAAAAAGCGGCCCTCGGGATGAACCTGCTGGCCGTGTTTTCATTTGAGTTTTCGGTTCGTATTACTCACGTGACCCTCCCCGCTACTCTTTTGAATCTCCTTACCTTTATCGTTCGCATCTCCCAAACCCAAGGCGCTCCTCCTCTTCTTCACCATTTCCGGTCCTCCCTCTTCTTCGGCATTTCTGATCCTCCCTCTTCTTCGGCATTTATGCTTCTCCATCTTCTTCGACATTCAGGTATATCAATTCTTTCTTCGGGAATTGCACATCTTCAGCAAACATCGCAATTTTGAACTTATAGAGAGTCGCCACTTTTTACTATTAACTTCTTTGCTATTGCTATGGTAGCAGATTTTTTGTGTTTTTGGGAGGGTAATATGATTTTCGTTACATGGGTTTGGTAGTTTTGGCTATCATCTTGAGGTTGTGGTTGTATTTTTTGAGTCATCTCTAGAGTTTATGCGGTTCCAACTAGTTATGATATATGGAGATAACGTTTATTTGATAGCCGATATTTTGGCTGCTTCTCCGCTAATGATATTTTCATAAGTAGGTTTTGCATATTCGAATGAATTGGGAATTTTTTTTCCTTAAGTATATCTTAGTTGGTGGAATATACACTTTTATATATCTTTATACTCTTGTTTATTTATGGTAGAAAACAATTCATATGTTGGCTTATGGTTGGAGTCTATGCTATGTCAGAATCGGGAAACGTTTTGTCGTGACATGCTTCTACATTTTAAAATAAATATTGTAATTTTTTTCCTTGTAATTTTAATATGTTATTTCTTCTTTTTTTAGATTTCATAATACTCACTATTAGAAGAAATCTATATCTTTTTTTAATCTGTACTAACGTGATTTAATTGGTTCCAAAATATCTAATGGGTAAACATTACAGTTTTGCTGGTAACATAACAGCTTATGTGTGACAAATTGTTCATTCACCGAATAAAAATTGAAAACCAGTTATTTTCAAAATGCACAAACTAAACAGCTAAATAATTTATACAAAACAGTGATAGAAGAATCATTTATCCAGAATCGGCTGTTTTCCAGACACACAAACCAAACATTCAGACACTTATCCGGATTAGTTATTGATCAGCAGTTTATCAAGATAAGGAGTTTATCTGGATAAACTGCAGCTGCCCCAAACATACCCTAAAAGACAACCGCTTGAAAAGCCTCATAAACTTTTGCATAAACACTCTCTATACATAATCTTAATGCATATTTTACAGCTTTTCTTATTTCTATCCCCAATTTAAATACATGTGTTGATCTCATTTTTAGTGAATTCTCTTACTCTTCTTAGAGTTTAGGATCTAGCTTTAGGATTTTCTATTTGACTCTCCTAAAGGCCAAGTGTCGGGACCCACCCTTTTAGAAATTCAAACTACCTCCGAACTCTTTAGCGAGGCCTCATGTGAGTGACATTGAACATTCAATTTTTAGTTGCAAGGGCTAAGGACCAGTGTCTGAATGCCTGAAGAAGGTTCCCATAAGATCTAAATGCCTTAGGAAATCCTTTGTGACTTCCGCGTACACTCACGTTACATGAATATCACAATTCACACATTCAATGCACATAAATATCAAAATTCACATAATCTGCACCTCTAAATAGCTTCACAATTGATCAAACTTAAATCAATTGCTGAAACGATAGATCACGAACTAAAATTTTAAGAAAAGTTGAATTTGACACGTTTTCGACCCGATCATCGACTAACTTGTCCGGATGACCCAGATGACGAAACGTACAATGCAAGTGTGTTCAGAACATCGATTTTAGCAGAGGATGACTCTAATTTCGATATAGTTTATTGCACAAGTGAAAAATCCAAGAGTCGAGGATTTTGAATATTCAACATTATATAAAGTTAATTAAAAAATATTCAACATTATATAAAGTTAATTAAAAAAAAAGTTATCTTCTTCCTAAATCCCTAACTCCCGCACACCACCCTCCCCTTCCTTATTCTTCTCCTTCCGCTCGTGCGACGCCCTGGCCGCGCCTCCTCTTTCAGGTGAGGGAGAGTTGACCTCCCGTTCGTCCTTGATCCTCCTTCCCGAAACCCCTCGACTGCGTCGCTCCATTCTCGGTCCTCTCCATTTTTCTAGCTGTTTCTTTCTTCGGCTCCGCTTGAAGTCCCAGAAAAAGCCGAAGCTCTTCTTCGCCTCTTGAGCGTAAGCCTTTGCCGCCTCTTCATATGCGATGCAAATAAGTCCCTTTTCGTCGTCTTCACTACTCCCTGCTGTGGGTGATGTCGTCGGCACGTCCTTCCCGCCGGCTTAACAGTGCAGCAGGTGAAACATCTTTGATAGTCAAATCACCCATATCAAGTAAGTCTCTTATACTTGAGAACTGCAGCAGGAGAAGTTTGAGGTATGATTAATGGTAAAAATAACTTGCCCGGCTTCTTGGTACATAAGAATATTACTTGTATTTCTAGTTCTCTTCCTCTTCTTCTGTATAGTTGCTGGAGCTTCATATTATTGATGGCAAAGCTTGATATATAGAGTTATATATAAGAACCGGGCGGTATGTATGTAAGCTAAAAATTATGCAATCATCTTCCGGCCCTGAGTTAAGAATGGCATTGCTGTTTATTTCCCTCTTTTATTTGATGCGAGAGGCCTTGGGTGTCTCTTTCCATGACTTACTTCCAGATGAAATTGATTCGATGGGAGTCCTCACCTTGAGCTCAGGCAAACGATGGAGATGTACGACAATGCTTGCAAAGAGAGAGGTATACCACGGCAGCATTCTCGCCTGCCGACACCTTCCTCGCCAGCTCACCCTTCCTCAGTGAAACCTCCCGTCGCAGAGCCGGTAATCTTCTTCTAACTCTCAACTTTCAGCATATCATAAAATAAAAAAAAAAGCAGAGAAAAGTTACTATCAAACAGAATTTTGGATCTGATTACTAACATGTTCTCTTTGGAAATAGGTTGGAATAAGAGGGGTTGGGGTGTAAGGGAGTTTTTTTCTTCTTCCTCTCTTCAATGATAATGTCTGAATTTAGCACCATTGTGGTTATCTTGATATATATATATAATGAAGGCTTTCTATTCAAATCTTTTAAACAGTGATGATTTGCCTCTTTTGTTCTGAGGCAGAAGCTATAGTTAATTTATAAGTTTGCTATGAATACATGTTATTCTTTCAACATTTTGCTCTTTGGTTGGGTTGGAAATTGGGCTAATATAGCAAGTTCCTTATTATTGTTCAAATACAATTGAGAGCACTGTCTGAATTTTAAAAGAAACCTTGTTAAAATATGATTCAAATCTTGCTATTGGAATGAGTTGTTTAAATCCTTGCATATTCTTTCAAAAATACTCGGGCATGAACAATCCTTTTCAAGCTCCATTTAGAGTTTGTGTGTAACAAGTATTGAGATATTCCTCTATATGAACTTATGCGATTCAACCTTATCCATGTTATTTTCGTTTCAATCCTTGGGAAAGATCGATATGAAGCATGCTAATCTGGCATTCGTGCTTGAAATTCTTGAATGTAACTGAAATTCACATATGTAGTACGTCTTTAAATGATGCTTCTAGAACATTTAGGCAAATGTGTGACAATTTCTTCTGTCGTTGATACCAGTCTTTTGGAAATTAAGGCGATCCTATGCCTCCATTGTTATACACCAAAATTTTAAGGAAAATTTATATACATGCACTAAAATCTTATGTACTTGTATATCTAACACATAAACCTGTTTATTTACATACAAAGCACCTTACATATCAATCAAATGGTGCGTTCCATATATATATATATATTTTTTGGTGGGTCGATATGAAGGAGTTGCTGTCATAAATGTAAGTAGACAAAAATATGGCGTTAGCTATGTAGATTCATGGAAAGATGGTTGTATATATGCAAATGCGTTGAGGATGATCTCAATAGAGAATGAGTTTTGTTCTCTAATACCTATTTTGTCTTTATTCTCTTGTTTGTTCATTATTACTGATTTATGTGACTTGGGATGAATGAGTTATTGCTGTGGCGAAGAATCCATACATGCTATTAAGAGCGACCAATCAATGTTGCTCATACAGAGAAGACTTTTGAGGGAAGAGGTATTAAGAAGTTGCTCTCTAATAATTTGGAGTTAGATAAGGTTAGATTTTTTGCATTCTGTTGGATGCCCCACGTTTTGGAGCATTTATTTTGCTTGTTTTCAGTATTCATTTATATAAGATTTACACACATACCACTCAATTTTTTTATGTATTTACATATACAAATATATCATCTTACCTATACATAAAAGGCTATATTGGTGATCTTCTGGTATGCTATGAAAGATGTAAGTATTATAAATGCAAAGATTTAGGTGCTATATGCGTAAATATATAAAGATTTGGATGGTACACTTATAAGTGTGTGGTTCAGAGAATAATTGAAGATATAAATCAACAAAAAAAAAGAGGAGCATTTTCCATGGTTTTCAATAGAATAGGGAAGATTGACATTGCTTGGTAGAGCGGACATTTACGTTTGCTGCTCTTGAAGAGGCAGCCGCTACAATTAAGCCTTCAAAATTTGCAAACATATCATGCCATTCTTTTAGATTTTCATACATGCCCCTCGATCCTTATTTGCTTACATAGCTAGTACCTAAACTTTCAATTCTTACATATGTCATCTTACCTATGGACGAAAATGTGCATTTTGCCTTTTAAGAATTAAAATATTGGTATGTTTGACTAATGGGAGTTGTGGCGGAATGAATAAAAAAATGGTATGTTCGAGAGGATCTTAAATACATGAATGACATGCGTGTACAAGGTAAGGTGGAAATTCAGGTGTTAGTAATGTAAACTCATACAGATGGAATGATATGCATATTCGATCCTTGTGTATTCACATGTCTAACACCTAAAATTTAACTTTAACACGCGTATCACTCGATTCTTATTTGTTTACACATCTAGTACTTAAACTCCACTCATTAACTGTATGCCATCCAAGCCTTTTTAATTACAATCATGCATTTCATATATTCAAATTTAATGAATTAATTCTCATATCAACTTCTCGGTGCGCCTTTGCGAGGTAAGACTGGTCGTGGTCGAGATATGGGATGATTACAAGGGTCACTTTAAAGCGGGTGAATCAAACTACACCAATCATCGTGTCGGTAAACAACCTCTCTTTTCTACGTGGCAATATATGGAGCATCGAGTTGGGCTATAAGACCGAGGTGCGGGTTGGTATGAGCAATGATGAAAAGACATGTAGGTGTGAGGAGCATTGCATATTCTGACCCTAGGGTCAAGAATTGATATTACTGCGCCTAAGATCTGGTAAAAGAATTACCCCTTGCTCTCATAGTTAGCTGACAGTTCTACGACTGACTCACTCCTCAAAACATACACATATAATATCAAAATGTACTTTTGAACGAAACCCACATTTTGCTTGCCAAAAATTATTTAAAACTCGAGCTATCTTTGTATGACAAACTAAAGCTCGATATTTTAAAACATCACTTGTGTCAAATTCATGTGTCAGTCACATAGGCCGGGTTGAGGATTGCCCTCCTATGAGTGTTTGGTGGGTGGCCTTTTATCCTCCGTTAGGCCTCACATACATGGTGTCCATGGTTGCCTACAAACTCCTGGGAAAAGTATGATTCTGAGCTCTCCCTTTACCAAACTCTTATACTCTGCTCTGATCTTCCATATATGTGCTACATGATTCTTTTACACACGTGCTAGTGTATTTTAGCTCTTTTTTGTTTGTTAGCATATTTATATGTTTTATATGTGATACTACATTTTTACCGGTTTTCTTCATTGCAATTCCTACTGCTTTTCTTTACTGCACTTTGTGCTGCCTTTCTTTACTACATTTTTATTGTCCTTTTCTTCTTGTATTTGCTTATAAAACTTGCAAACCCCCAAGAATAGGGAACAACAGGGCACTTGAATAAAATAAATAAAATTGAGAGAAGTGTTGCAGGCACCAACTACATTTTATGTGACCAACTTAAGCTATTACATGTTTCAACTAATACCTCTTTTACCAACTGACACAATTGTAGCTACCAACTACGACCCATATGGTTAACTGTTACTACAACTTCCAACTATGATTTCAATGACCAATTGATGCTACTGTTGCTACCAGCTACGACCTGTGTGACCAACTAAGACCTATGAGACTAATCGTTGTGATAACTTTACATATACAACTTATGTGGCCAATTGACGCTAATTTAATTACCAACTACGACTTGTGTGACTTACTGCTACTATAATTTCCAAATATGGTCTTTGTGGCCAACTAATGCTACTACATCTACCAACTATGAGTTATATGACCAACTATGATCTATATTGCTAACTGTTACTTTAACTACTAACTACGACCTCTATGACCAATTATAGTCTATGTGACTAACTGATATTACAATTGTCAAGTACGGTTTATGTGACTAACTAGGCTTTTGAGGTCAATTACTACTACAACTTTTATGATCAACTTACACTTTCACAACTATCAACTACAACCTTTGTGCTCAGTTACTATTGTAGCTTAACACCACAATCTCTGTGGTCAATTGACTCTCTTGCAACCACCAATAACAACATATGTGGTTAGTTACTACTAGATTTTCCAATGATGTTTTCTATAGCCAACTAATGTTGTTGCAGTCACTGGTTACAGCCTCTGTGAATAACTGTATTACAACTTTCAACTATGAATTTTGTAACTATATACCACTATTATATCCATCGCCTACGACCTATATGGTCAATTGCAGTTATTGCAAACATCGATTACAATCTTTATAACCAACTACTACCTTTGTTGTAACTAACTACAACTGTCATGGCTAACTGTTGTTCTTACATTAAGAAGTATGTTTGTTGTAGGCTAGATATGACTATTATAACTAAATGACTTTTGCACATAGGTAATTATTGGTACTGCAATTCCATCTTGTTAAATTCGAAGTAATAGTAGACCCATATAATTTCAATCATATTGTGAATTATCTTGATTGGGCTAGACTCCTTTAAGTTTTTACCTTTCAAGGATTTTTTCAACATAAAAAATCTTGACATCACCTCATATTATTTTTCTATCATCCATGTGTGTGCTGTATCTTCGTGCAACACTAAAATATTAAATATCACTCTACTGTTGCGAATCACCCGACATGTAACAAAGTTAGTTTGTGCCAAACATATCTTTGAAACGTTCCAAAAGTCTAACTCAATACAAGACAAATTGACCTACCACCCATCTACCCATCATCACCAATAATGTTGATGAACAAAATCATCAATTAAAGCATGCTGTTGACACCAATATTATATGTAATTTAATAAATAGATCCAACCCGTCGCAAAATGATCATATGAAAATACAACTTAGAGAACTTTTCAGGCTCTTCCAACGCTCCCCATGAAATCTTTTCCAATGTATCAAAAAATTATCAGTTATAAGAAATGATATTATTTATAACCTATGACTTATATTCATGAGTCATTTTAGTTAGTTATGGTCAGTGCTGAAATATCGCACAAAATCAGGATATTATTTTATATTTCATTATCATGTATTTTTTTAAGCCTTAATTAACTTATTAATGAGTACTTACGAGTTTTAATGATAATGTATTATCATAAATGAACCAAGCGACAAGCTGATATAATTTTGTTGACATGAACAAGTATATGAATAAAATCAATCAAATAATTAATAATTATGAAATGATTTAATTAGACCAAGTCAAGAAAATAAAGTAAATAACCCTTTAATAGCGCATAGGCGTGCATCGGTCCGTCCACGTTGCCATAACTCGTCAGCAGATCCGATCAAAGCGTGCACTCTTCAGTTCAGTTGCACCAGTTGGCCCGTCGGGCCCAATTATCGGCCCGATTTGTTCGGATGGCTAACAAACCGCGAGCTCCGATAAATACCCTGGCGAGCCGTGTGAGCGAGCCATCTAGCCAGAGAGCTCTTGAGTGTTTAGTTTTGCAATTTTCGTAATTTCGAAGTACAACGAATGCCCTTCAGACTTCAGGAATTTGAGGTTAGATATGCAAATACATAAGAAATATGTGGTCTGTATGTAAATGCTTTCCTTCTCTTTGATTCGTCTAGGCCATCTCGCTGTCGCTCACTCGCTCCGTTTCTTCTCAATCAGCCATTAGCCATTGTGTTCTTTCACTCTAGTTTTACGGTATGTGATTATGTTTGAATTGGAGCGTATTTCCACTGATTTCTGTGTTGCTTTGGGTGAAAATTGGCTTTTTAATTTTGCTGCTGTGGCAGGGATTCGGAGGGAAGCTTCAGCGGTTCGTGTTCAGATTTCGTTGGATTTTGGCGGGGAAAGTTGGAGGATTGTTGTTTTCTGGGAGGTGGATTAGGTTCTTTGTTTTGGATTTTGATTCGTGGATTTTGTAATTTAAGTTTTTGAGGTGCGGTCAGGATGCCGAGGAGTTCTCACCAAAAATTGCACCGGTCGCATAAGCGGAGTGGCAGAGATGGGACGGAGCGTTCAGACTCTGAGGATGATGGGAGTTCGAGGAATCGTACGCTGAGATTGGTGGAAGCTGGTGCTGGTTCTGGGACTAGGGTTTCGAGGGATGGGGATACGGAGAAGTGGAAGGGTTCTTCTTCGAGGCAGGTATCTTTGGAGAAGGACAGAGGTGGCTCTAAAAATGGGGATTTATCATCAGGTAGGAAGCGGAAAGAGAGAGAGGACTCTGCTACGTCTGATAGGTGGAATGGTAGCGGAAAAGATAATGGGCTTCCTGAGACGAGTTCTAAAGAGGAGGATTGTGACCGCTTGTATGCGCAGAAGGTGGACAAGTCAAGGTTTTTAACTGTTGAATCGAAGAGCAAGTCTAGTATGAGGCGCGAGCTTTCTACTGATAGGTATGTTGAGAGTAGCAACAAAACTGAGCCAGTGAAGAGGAGATCAGAGAAGGAGCATACCAGAAGAGAATACAGGGATGATAAAGAGAGGGACATGGATCACCATTCAGAGAGAGAAAAGGATAGGGAATGTGCATCGGAGAGGGGCAAGAACGGTCAGGATTCGAGGTATGGAAGGTCTGATGAGACGGAGAGCAAGAGCCATCGTTCCAGGAGGACGGTTATTGAGGTGGAGTTGAAAGACAAGAAGGATAGTACTGGTAAGTTAACCTGGAACACTAGCTTATCTATTTTCACGGAACACTATCTTATATATAACTAAAATGAAGATGCTTTTATCTATCCTCGAATGGCCTGTGATGAATGAGCGCCATTGGCTCTTGTCTAGCCCCTAAAATCTACTTTTTACATTTATACCAACCAAATATTTGATGACACATAAAAAAAATACCACTTTTTGAACTTAAAGAGTGAAATATACATTTGCATGCATTGGTAAGTTGGCACATATGTAAAAGTTGAAGTTTAGGTGTTAGATATGTAAATACGTAGGAATTTAGTGGTATTTATGTAAATCTTACTTTTTTTTTTTATCATGTCTCTTATCAGTCTTAGTACATGCAGCTGCATTATCAAATTATTTTTAAATTTTTTTAGTACAATATTTTTGGAGATGCTTATGCTTATAAAAGTGTTCAAATTGAGGTGCCTTAGTGTATGCTTGTTTTGGATAGTTTTAATTGGTGATATGTTTATTGAAATAAGAGGAAGGTTAGAATGTGGGATGGCTAGAATAAAAATTTTAGGATTAATATATTGCAATTTGAGTATATGCTATATAAATTTTGTGCGGTCAATAATTATCATCAATTTTATTTGTATATAGAGTGATAATTAGCTGAGATAGTATTTTAGATTTTTAGATACATATAAGAATTTTGGATTTGAGATTGGGCAATTAAAATGGTGAAGTGGCTTAGGATCATTATGGCTAGTTATGGAGAATTAAAAGTAAATGCTATGAAGTCATAGCTAGGTCTGTAAACTTGTATAGATCCTAGTATTGGGTAGTTAAAAAGTTCTTGGTAGCCAAATATAGCAGGGCATTACTGAGAATGATAATATAGACATGTGGACACAACTAGGTTGATACATTAATGAATGGTTGGAGTGCCATCATAAATTGTGCATTTTGTTGAATATATGATAATGGAAAATAAACCAAGTATGGATGAATAAAATAAACTCTTAGGTAGTTGCATAAAACTTGTGTCAAAGGATTAGAAAGCAAGTGTATAATTAATGTAACATGTATAGAAGTTGCCTAAAAAATTCCAAGTTATAGGTTTAAAATCTCGTTTGGTACTTAACAAGAACAAATTACAATTGTTATCATCATTAACCCAATCCCAACTATTTGGTGTCGGTTTTACTTAACATGAACGAATAGTAGATAAAAATTTACAAGGCTCATCCAAGTAGTTAAGGCTACTGATCAATCATTATGATGTCGTATGTTCTTTGTTTATTGTTGAAGTGCATATCATAATTTGTTTAAAGAGTTATTTTAATAGAGTTTGATAAGACCGCAGATGCTTGTGGTGCCAATGTTAGTCATAGCTCTGTCACAACTCGCTTGAATTGGAATTCATTCAACTATCACTTTAGTTATCTCATGCTAAGTCATAATCCCTACCATTGACTCGAGCCATCATTGAAATTTTTTATTTTATATGTTTAAAATTAATTTTAAGTGAAAAATTAAATAATAATATTTGGTATGTGCTATTTATTTTCATTTGGGCTAGAATTCGAGTTTAAGTGAAAAATATAACGTGAGGCGATGTGTTAATAAATTTGAGCTAATCGGAACTAATTTCAAGCCTAGTCAAATTGATTTTGATTAGGCTTCAAATCAATCCATTTCAGCTCCACTTGGCTTGTGTTGAATCACAATTTGAGTTCTATTGATTGAGTTCGATTGAATAAATAAAATTTTCTAGCCAAAATGATTCATGGAGCTTGATTTTTGGTAACTTTAGTGTAGGATTGATTTGAAAAGGATACATTATCTTTTATCATGTAAACAAAATTAAACATTTTTTAAATACTTAAAGATTATGAACCAAATATAAACATGATTTAACGTGTTTATTTATGTTCACGAATCACAAACAAACTCATTTATTGTTCAATAAGTAATTTGTTAAATGACCTATAGTTATATATTGAATACAATTTAATTAACTAAAATTTATTTAATTACAAATTTAATAATAATATACTATAATTTAATATCAACATGCATATTAATCTAATTCAGTTCCTTCTTACTTATTTATTTCAATGAGCTAATTTGTTAATATTTATTTATATTATTTGATTCAAGAAAACTTACTTGCAACTTATATATTATATTATTTAATTGATTTAAAGTACTAGAATACTAATTTAAAATTTATTCGATTGCTTATTTGTTTAGATTTATAAAAATATTTGTTAATAACTTTATATAAAAAGTCAAATATTAATTCAAAATTTTAGTTTTATTTTTGAACTTGCTGAAATACCGTCTAATTAAAATAAGCAAGCCATGTACAAAACAATTACAATTACTAAAAAAAATTAAAAAAGCCAAGTATGAACCTCATTGTGAAAGCTCACTTGACTCGAACATGGACATCTTATAACATAACCAAATTAAGTCCAATCATGACTTATTCGTTTTCGACTTAGTTCGATTGCTACATATATCCATCTCAGTCCAAAGAGAATATTTTTACCTTCCAACTTTTCCCAACTATCTTCATAAATTATTGAAAATTCTTGATGCGAGCATGTTTTGGGCCTTTGAGTTATCAATTCAATAGATTAAGTTCATATGTTTTGTTCTAAAATTAATTTTCTTTCAAGTTAATGATCTTTAGTAAATTTTATCAGTTGTTTTTGGAGTTACTGGTTTTGGCAAAAAAATATTTATTTTTAAAAGCTAAATCTTGGCTTTGGTTGATTTTCTTATTCTTTATTACTTATAAGGTGGACTCAAAATTTTCTTAAAAAATGTTCACAACTAATTTGCAATTCGTCTATTTTCTGTAATCAAATAAATATCTTATGATCTTTTGAAAAAGTGAAAATTCATTAATTTTTCCCCAATCAAATTTTCATCAAGCTCGGTAGTTATTTACTTTATTCACTTAATGCCACCATACGATTCATGGAATTTTTGCTGCCTCCTCATCAATCTGTGAACTATTGTAATTATGATTTCACTAACTCATCAATCAACAATTTTTTTGTTGTATTATATGATTATTATTTTCTTTGCTTTGTATGTTTTTTATTAGAAGCTCTAATAGGATTATATAAACACCACACAAGTGTTCGGTTGAAATACTCAACCAATTCTCTCTAATTTTTGTCATCGTATTTGAATTCTAAGCTTTTTCTACTTTGTTTTTTTGTTATGTGCAGCCTTCATTGTTGTATTAGCACAATCTTGTAGTTAGGGGTGTGCAAACGGTTGATTTGGATGTATCGGTTCACAAATTAGTCATCAAATCAAATGAAATAGAAATTTGAAATCCAAAAACCCAACCGTCTAAACTTTTGTTAAAACCGGTTCAAATTGAACCGAAACACAATTCGGTTTAATCAGTTCGATTTTGAACAAACTAAAATTTAATGTTTGGTTTTATTTCAAACCAAAATAATGAACTCTTAAGGTTTGATTTCAAAATTTAAATTTTATATCTCTTTTTTAATCTACTCACCATCTCTTTAAAATTAAAAATTTCAAACAGAAATAAAATAATTAATTAATTTCCAAATAAATTTAATTTTATAATCCTAATATTATTCAAATTTTTGTTTCCTTTAGTTTAATGAATATTAAAACTGAAATGAAAACTGAAATACAAATATTCAAAATTTTAAAACAGAAAACTGAATCTGCAATTTTGCCAGAGAATGCACACCCAATTTTTGTATTCGTTGTCACACTTCTTCCTTTTTTGGCCCTTTTTAATAATTGTAACTTTCATTGCTGCATTTCCTTTTCTTTATAATTGTAGCTTGCATTGCTGCATTATCACAAACATTTTTCACTGTGCAATCTTCATCGTTGAGTTGCCTCAATTCTACTCAATTCTACTGTCTCCATTGTCGTGCTCTCTCCTTTTCCCCTTATTTTTTAAACTGCTGCAACCTTCATTTTTTCAGCCTTTTTTGCTGTAATGCTGATCTAGTCATTTTTTTTCATATGCATTAAATCATAATTTCATCACCATGGACAACACATACAGACATTGTCTCAATTTCCCAAGGAATTGTGGAGTGCAATCCAAACCTCTTAGGTGTGTTGTAAAGCATCTATTTAAGATATTGGTTGAATGAAAATAACTATTTAAAGTAGTTGTGATTGATTCGCAGGTTCTTGAAGGGAAGAAAAAAATTTGGTCTTTTACAAGATACGAAAAGATAAAAAGGCTTGTTAGGAGCACTTGGATAATATGTATAACTATTGAACAACTAACTGACATTATCATCAAATGATTATCAAGAACAATGTTTGAAAAATTAATATAATAATAGCTTGGAATGGACGACATCCATTCATTTGCTTTCAGGGGAAATGTGAAAAAATCAATATCCATCAATTTCACCTCCAATTTTCCACCGGGCACAACAATCCTCCAATTTTTTTAATTCACTTCATGCCACCTCGGTGATCCCTGGGATTATTTAGTGCCACTTCATTAATTTGTAAACTATTATAATTATGTTTTGTGTTTATACTTTTGCCACACTATCAATCCATGGACTGCCGTAATTATTCTGTTATTATTATGTAATTATTATTCCTTGACTTTGCATGTATACTATTCGAAGCTCTCCTAGGATGATATAAATACTTCATAAATATTACAATGAAGTACTCAATCAATTCTCTTCAATTCTTGTCAGATATGTCAAATTTTAAAGTACAGATATGCAGAGTTGTCAATTAAAAAAATCTATTGCTGTATATTCTAAGTTATGCTATGGTTGTTATTGTGGGGGGCTCCCTCCTACCTTTGTTTGTTGGATGGTCAAATTATGTTAGGCTTGCTCGGTCATTGCCATATTTGAAAAGGAAAGATGCTTGCTGATGTACTTTTTGAGTAATTTACTCTGTTATTTTTTTAAACTTATAATTTCGTTATAAGTTTTGTTCTTTTGTATTTGCAGAAAATCAAGCTCAAGATGATTTGAAAAATGCGGTGTCAGAAAAAGATTCTGAAAAATTTATGACAAAGAGGAGAAAAGGGCTGCATGACAGGAGGTTATCTTCTAGTGATTATCACATTAAGAATGGTAGCCATAAAATTGAGGGGCACAAGGATGAGAGGTATAAAGATGAGAAGTATCATGATAAATATTTCAAGGAACTTGATAGGGATCAAGGAGACCGACGGCATCGTGATATCCGCCGAAGAGAAGAGCCCTCCTCTAGAGATTACATCAGTGATCGGCTCGAGAGTAAATCTGTCAGAGATAGGGGCAAGCATGTCGAGAGTAATAACAAAAGTAGGCTTCATGAAAGCGATCGTGAACTCAGTCCACATGCTGATGACCATGGAATCAAAATGAGAGATAACAACAGGCTGCGAAAAAGATCTTCTAATGAAATTGATGATCATTATGGCTTGGGAAAAATAAGTACGAAGAAATCTCGTCCTAATATTGATAAGGATGCATCAAATTCAAGTAAATTTGATCATGGTCATCGAGGCAAGGTTGAGACTTTCTTAGGTCATTCGCTTTCAAGGAGTTCCTTGAGCCCAAAGGCTCATAGTTCCAAAGAGCAAATCAGGTATTAACCTGGCCATATACTCATTCGTTCTCTCTGACAACAGCCTACTGTTAACTTTCTTCATTTGATGTCTTACAACTCATGAATTTAAGTTTTCCCATTTCTACCACATTGATCTTTTTCGTTTATGTCACTTTGTTATTCTTTGCAAATTGTGACCTTTATTGTTCCTTTCTAAGTTTGTTTTCCCATTTCTACCTACAGTTAACTTTCTTCATTTGATGTCTTACAACTCATGAATTTAAGTTTTCCCATTTCTACCACATTGATCTTTTTCGTTGATGTCTCTTTGTTACTCTTTGCAAATTGTGACCTTTATTGTTCCTTTCTATCTAAGTTTGTTTTCCCATTTCTACCTAGTGTTAACTTGCTTCATTTGAAGTCTTACAACTCCTGAATTTAAGTTTTCCCATTTCTACCACATTGATCTTTTTCTTTGATGCCTCTTTGTTACTCTTTGCAAATTGTGACCTTTATTGTTCCTTTCCATCTAAGTTCGTTTTTCCGTAATTTGGGATGTTATTTTATTAATTCATATGATTATTATTTACTGTATTTGATTAATATTCACTGTATTTGTCCTATCTGGTATAATCTTCTAGCCATTACTATTACTTCTCTTTAACTTTGAGTCACAATTTATAGTTCTTAACCTGCCACTACTTATAATACGGTGCAGACGTGGCTTAAAGCAAGCAAAATCTACACACGGAGAACCAGCACGTGACGGCAGAGTTGATGACCGTGATAGAATTTCAGTAGTTCATGAGAGAGTTTCTGATTCTCTTTCTTTAGAAAAGCCCCAGCATAGAGATCGAGTAAACTCAGGTGAATCATTACTATATTTTTTTTCCTTTATATCTTTATAATTAGACCCCAAAATTGATATGATACAATTTGTAGTAGAAATGCAAGAAAGCATCTTACTATTGAAGATTCTATATAAAAGATCATTCATAATAACCTGAAATAATTTTCAATTTGCAGTTGAAAGAGAACGACAATTGGTTTCAAATAACCTAAGTATGGAGAACAATTCTCTACCAGAGTTGCAGACTTCTGAGCATGCTTCTGGTAGCCCCCCACTCTTTAAGCGACCTAGATATCTCTCTAGCAGCTCACCTGGTCATCATCTTCCTCAGCCACCTATGAGACATGGGACAAACAGTTCTTCCCCTTATGAGGATGAAACGAGGGTAACATCTGGGAACCATAGATCCAACAGCCGGTACAGGAGTAGTGATCCAAACATGGAAAGAGGGCCGGGTGGGGCTTGGAAAAATGGCCCACATTGGCCTGCTCCATTTCAGAATTCTTTCTTCCCATTCCAACATGGGCCTCCGGCTTCCGCATTCACTATCCCACCTTTTCCTCCAGCATTCTACGGTGCGAGGCCATATATGGAAATGAATCATGCTCGGTTTCCCTATCAAATGCATGAGATGGCGGGCCGGTTTCCAGGCCATAGCCCTCCATTTGGATGGCATCATCCGGTAGGTGATTCGTGGCTGCCACAAATGAATGGTTGGGATGGTGGTAGTTCGCTATATCGGGGCCCCGATTGGAGTTGGAATAGTTATCCAATACATGGACAGAGTTCGGAGTTGAACATTGAAATGTCGAAGGGACCGAGTTCGAGCATGTCCGAGTTTTCGTCTCATCTGGAGCAAACAGATGCTGCTGCTGATTCAAGGCTCCCATCGGATGCTGCTGCTCCTTCAAGGCTCCCATCGGATGCTGCTGCTCATCCAAAGAAATTAAATGATACGTCAAATAAAAGATCTATGAAAGCCTACCTAGAATCAAATCTTAGTAGGGGTTTTAGCATTCCGACAAAGTCCTATGATGGTCATAGGCGCAATTTAGGTAGTTATTTATCCAAAATTGATATTTCTGAAGATCTTACACACCCTGAACTGTATAAAGAGGTCACAGATCTTCTTGCGTCTGGTAACTTAGCTGGTTCTAATAATGTTTCCAAGGTTGAAGATGCAGAGGTAAATCTTATTTTGATTTTTTGTTATGCATGATTGCCATTTTTATTCCCTCGCCACACATTGATTCTATGATGTACAGTTTTCTCGGTTTCTAACTGAATTTCTTCTCTCAGAATAATAGAATTCTAATTTCTAAAAAGTTATCAATTCCACAAAGCACTCTGCTACCAGGTGCTGCTGAGGCTTCTTTTAAGGTAATTTCATAAATTTTGGATTTTTTTTGCTTGCTTTATTTGTGTATAAAGACTGCTGAGTGATTCATTCTATATTGTTTTTTTTTAATTTGTATCTTCAATTCCGACCAAATAGTTCCTTAGTTTTTATTTTGCTCTTTTCTTTAACAATTTTTTGGAAGATTTATACAGATACCACACAATTCTTATGCATTTACATATCCACCACCTAAACTTCAATTTTTACTTGTATGCCCCCTTCCTTTTGCATAAAAAGTTGTTTTTTTTTTGCTTTTCTATAAATTTAAATAGAGATATTTTTCATCTGATATTAAAAGAGTTGAGTGATGTAAATGTAAAAATTAAAATCAAATTGTTAGATATGTTAAGTAAGGGTCCGTTTGGGGCAGCTTATAAGTGCGGGCGTTTTCAAAACGCCGCCGTGCCATTTGGTTCGCGCGTTTCGCCAGCTTATCTGAAATTGCGTTTGAGTTTTTACACTAAACGCGAGCCGCGGATCGACCCTTGCAGTCGGCCCGTATCCTAAAACGCACAAGGTCCCTCCCCTCTGCGGCCCCCCACCCCCCCCCCCCCCCCCCCCCCCCCTCTTTTTTTTTGTGGCATTTACATGCATACCCCATAATTCTAATGTCTTCATGTATCTAGCACCTAAACTTTAATATTTACATTCATAAAACTCAAATTCTTTAACCAAAACAATAAAAAGCGCTCAAAATCTTTAACATCATCTTAAAAACACCACCTTTTCTAACTTCTTAATAGTTAAATGCATCCTTCTATACACGGTTCTTATGGGCACCAAGGTGTTATTAATGTAAATCCATAAGAATATTGTGGTACATATGTAAATTTCACATTTTCTTGCCTCATATGTGCCATTTGTATTCTGCTTAATTATTATTTCTAATTTCTGTGCTTGCCAACCCATTCTTTATTTGCAGAGAGCCATGTCGGTTTATGAGAAGCAGAAGTGTAGAAGGCATTTGAAGCCCCCTCCCCCTCCTGCAGCCGTTTGCCCAAAAGAAGCAGACGTTTCTCTTGAAGCTCCTGTTGAGGAGCCCTCAACCGTTAATGATAACAGTGCTTCCACCCTCGCCGGAGAAGAAGGTAAAAAGTCTATTAATGGTGATGCCGGCGGCTCACCTGCTCTCATGGAAGTGGAAAATATTGAAAGTCCTGATGTTGATGTTCTGGAAAGTTCTCGTACTTGTGAGGCTATGATGCCAGTTTGTAAGGTAAATTTATTTCGGATACATAACTCTATTGAAAGTACATATTTAAGCTAAATCTTCTTCTTCTTTTCATTTGTTTTTGTGAAATGCCATAAAGGTGTCATTTTGTGCATTGCTGGCCTGCTAAATTTTCTGCATGAAATGAAAATTTTGCTCATCTGCAAGTTTGGGCATGTTTAGCATTGAGTTTAGATGCCTTTTATGGCTTTATTTATTTATTTACTTAAAATTAGTGAAAAAAGCTTTTTTTATGATGTTTTTTTATTTTTTAAAAAAAGGATTATTATTATCATATATATATTTTTCAAATCACAACATAAAAAAAAAAAAAGATTTGAAACGATTTCTAAATTAATGGCGGGGAGGAAGGAAATAGTCTGCTTGCAAATGTTTTGAAATTTGTGTTGTTAATTTAATTTAATTTATTTATTTATTTATTTATTTATTTATTTGGCATTTACATACATACTACCTAGTTCTTGTGTATTTACATTATCTAACACCTAAATTTTCCTTTTAACATTTATGCCACTCAATTCACATAAAAAAGACCCTCCATATATTGTGAGAAGGCTATCTAGCAAGAAGTGTGGGGAACATGAATGATCCTATTATTAGTTCTTATTTTTTTCCTCATGATAATCATACTTTGGGAATCACCTATAGTTTTTGAACTACGTTACTTTTATCTTGGTTATGTTCTAACATAAAACAACATTTGTTTTTGTATATATTTATTATATTAAAATATGAAAAATATAATAGAATATTTATGGAGTTCACTGATCCAACTTATTGCATGCCCATCATCATTTTGTAAGTCAATACCATTCCTTTGTTGCTGGCCATCACCCACCTCCATATTATTGAGTTGACATGTCGAAAAATTTAGGTTTGAGTTGGTTTAATTTTTAGTCAAGTTCGAGTTGAATGGTATATATATATATATATATTTATATAGTCACACGGGTTGGGTTTGGCTTATTCGGGTTGAAAATAGGTTGGATTTAGGTAGAGTTTCTAACTCATTTAATATTGGAGCCATTTTTGGGCTTAAATAGTTTTGAGTTAGGACAATTTTAAATCAGACATTGACTGAATCTAATCTGTAAATCTGATTTGACAAACCTATATATAATATAGATTTTTTTTTTTTAAGTATTAAAAATTGTCTCAATATTTTTAATAAATAAAATTGTTTTTAAAATTTTAAAAAATGAATTAAAAAAAAAATATTTTTGTTTCTTCTAATTGCTTAAGAATTACAAAAAGTATTCCGAGCTGGCCCAAGATGACAAACTCGTTATTTGTTAGATGGAATAATGGCCCATTTTCTTTTGCGGGCCAATTGTTAGTGCCAGGTATCTCGAATGCCATCCGTCCGTTAAACTAGTTTGGTAAGCTTAGAAGTTAGAACTCTCGTATTTTTTTCGAACTAAAATAGCCGCCGCTTCCCACCGCACCATGAAGTTAGCCACGTGGCGAAATAATAATCTGAAACGACACGTGGCAAAAAAAGAAGAAGAAGCAGTGTTCAGATGCCGATATTGTACGCCGCCGCCCTGCTCTTCTCCGATATCTGTTCGATTTCCTCGATCGCTGCTCTTGATCTCCTCACGCAAAAATGGTGTTCGAGAAAATCAAGGTGACGAATCCTATTGTGGAGATGGACGGTGAGATTTTCTTCTATCGATAACCTATAGTTTTTCTTGGTAGAACCCTAGTCGATGATCTTTGATTCTGTGTTTTCTGAACTGAAATGTTTGAATTCATAGTAAAAAAATTGTTTGTTTATTCTGAAGTTCGATGTTTACGCGATCCTTGAATCATGACTCCTTATATTGTTATTGAAACAAGCTCAATGTTCGAAGCGATTTGATTTCTTTTTTAACTGATATTTCCTTCAGTTTCTCCATGCGATCGTGTGTCTCTATTTTCAATCTCAATAATAATTTTTTGCTTGTTTTTAAATCTTTTTTCAGGGGATGAAATGACTCGGGTCATTTGGAAAGTGATTAAAGATAAGGTAAAACTTTTTGCTTAATTTAAAAATTCTCTTTTAAGATACTGCTTTTGAAATCTTAGTTATGCTCATATTGTGATCATATTAGCTGAATTCTTTAATTCTTGATAAATGCAGCTTATTTTACCATTTTTGGACTTAGATATTAAGTACTTTGATCTTGGAATTCTTAATCGTGAAGCTACACATGATCGAGTCACGGTAGAAAGTGCAGAAGCTACTCTCAAGTAAGTTCATGGAATGCAAGGAATTCACTATGTTGAACACTCGCCAATTTTCAATGTTACTATTTGATCTTAGGCTGTTTTGCTACAGGTAGGTTTTAGTAAACCTTTTAAATTAAGATTTTGGTAAATCATGTTGTTTGGCATAACAATTGTTAAATCTTGCTAAAATTTTGATGAACTGTTTCGTTATTTGCTTCAAAATCTTAGATTTATAAGAGAAATCTTTAAATGCATTAAATTCTATGATTGTGAATTTAACAAGTCATGAATTTATGCATGCCACTTAATTCCTATTTATATACATATCTGACACCAAAACTAAATCATGCTTAAATTCAGCCTAGAGTAGAATACCAAATAGTCCCTAAGCGTTGGTATGAGCCAGTTTTAAATCTTCTGTCAGTTGTTTTATCTGCTCTATGAGTTCTCTTAGAGACTCATACTTTTCTTCTGCTACTTTAAAACAATGGACAGAGTAGTTCATGGCCTTAATAATGAACAACTAATACCTTTGCAACTATAGCTTCATAATAGCTTGTTCATATTGCAGGTACAACGTTGCAATTAAATGTGCCACCATAACTCCAGGTAAAGATAAAGGGAAATTTACATACGTAGCACACAATTCTTATCTATTTTGACTTCTAAAAAGTGGTAATAGTACTGTTTTTGATGTGATGTTAAAAATTTGAGTGGTATGTTTGTAAATATGAAATTTTGGGTGTGAGATATGTAAATGCATAAGAATTGTGTGCTATGCATGTAAACGCCCCAAGAGAAATTGGAGCATGCACTACCTAATAAGGTTAGTTGGTTTGTTTTACCATTGGACTTCTCTCACAATTTTTTTGGTTTTCTTTTGTGATCTTTTAATAGATGAAGGCCGTGTTAAGGAATTTAACCTGAAATCCATGTGGAAGAGCCCTAATGGAACAATCAGGAATATTTTAAATGGTGATACATCATGGGCTGCATGCAACCTAAAAAATATTGATTTTTTGCTAATAATAGAATGTTATCCAAAACTTTCTTTACTAGTTTTTATAATTTTTTGCAGGCACTGTTTTTAGAGAACCAATTTTATGCAAAAATATACCAAGACTTGTGTCAGGTATGAAGAAAAGGGCATGATTTTTTCTCTTAACATTAATTTAGCATTGTCTTTTGCTTCTCATTTGTTTCAGCATTCAGGATGGACTAAGCCAATATGCATTGGCAGACATGCTTATGGTGATCAATATAGAGCAACTGACAAAGTAATAAATGGACCCGGAAAGCTCAAACTAATTTTTGGTAAGAGTATCAGTAATGATTTTACTACTTGAATTTCTCCTTATTTCACTAACTATATCGTTATTTTGGCTATTTAGTTCAATTCAAATGAAGTTTCATCTGTTGGCTTCTGCTAAAGTTATTTCTACATTCTTGTCAAATGTTCATTTTTCATTTTCCTAATTTATACCTGCCTTGATGGTTTTTTGTTTCGCTCTTCTTATTCTACATTTTGGTTTGGCTCAAGTTTTTAAAAAAATTAGATTGCCTTTGTAAACAGCATACCTTGAAAGATTATCAGCATCTTATCCTAGTATAATTGGTTTTTGATAGTATGTTTCTACTTTTAAGCTATTTATAATCATTAATCTTTGTTGTACTGTCAAGTTTTAAATTTATAATTTTTAAGTAATGTGAAAAATTTCCTGTTGGGATTATATCTATTGTGTGGTTTCGTATATGAGCTCTTTGTAATAAAAGTTAAGCGGCCTCACTTTGATTCTCATGTCAGGTGATTTTGGGCCTTAAGCGCCTTCATGTATCTTTAACCCCATGAAGTATGGTTTAGCCATCTAAAATTCTGCTAATTTTTGAACCTTCGTTAAATTGGATATGCCTGTGTTTTTTTATTCACCCTATGGGACAGATTCCTTTGGATGTCAGTTGTCTTTCTTTACCAATATTTATTTCTCTGTTGTTGTTCACATCCAGAGGGCAAAGAAGAGGAAGTCCAACTTGAGGTTTTTAACTTCACCGGCGCTGGCGGTGTTGCATTGGCTATGTACAATACTGACGAGGTTGATACATACCACCCAATTATTATTACATATCTAACAACTAAATTTTTGTTTTTATGTTTATAACACCCAAACCTTTCATTTCACATAAAAAATAGTTCTATTTTAACTTTTAAAAAGTGAAATACACCTTTTTCATTCATAGGCAAGGTGGCATTTATGTAAAAATTAAATTTTACGTGTTAGAAATGTAAATACATAGGACTTAATCTTCCTATATCTTAATGCTAGTGGACCAGAAGGTCCACGCTTCTACATCTAATCCATTTTTTTCTATGCAGTCTATTCGTTCATTTGCCGAGGCTTCAATGAACACAGCTTTCCAGAAAAGGTGGCCGCTCTACCTCAGCACAAAAAACACTATTCTGAAGAAGTATGATGGGAGGTCCGTTTTCTTCCTTTTAACTCACTTTTTGAAGTTTGAATGTGCTTAGTGTCATAAGATGCTTCCCTTATTCATGCAATTATCAAGGAATTACATTATGTCTATTATTCAGGTTCAAAGACATATTCCAAGAGGTTTATGAAACTAAATGGAAGGCCAAGTTTGAGGCTGCAGGAATATGGTGTGGTGCTATTTTTGCAGACCTTATTTCTTCATATTTGTTCTGTATGATTTATATTTCATGCATGCAAAACTGATGGCTTGGTAGGTATGAGCACCGTCTTATTGATGATATGGTAGCTTATGCACTTAAAAGTGAAGGTGGTTATGTATGGGCTTGCAAGAATTATGATGGAGATGTGCAGAGTGATTTCTTGGCTCAAGGTTTGAATTTAACTCTATTCTCTCCTTGAACTTTTCCTATTTCACTGCCTCCATTGCATTCTTTAAGGAAACCCATTAACTCATTTTTAATTCACAATTAAGAACCCACCCTCATTTTCGGGTTAGGAAGATTTACATAAACTACTCATTTCCCTATGTATTTACATATCTACCACCTAAACTTCAATTTATACATGCACAACACCTTACCTATGCATGAAAAGGTCATGTATTTCACTTTTTAAAAGTTGAAATGGTGGTATTTTTGATGTGGTGTGAAAGATCTGAGTGGTCTAAATGTGAAAGCCAAAGTTTAGGTGTTAGATATGTAAATGCATAAGAATTGGGCGGTATGCATATAAATGCCTCTTTGGGTTAATGGTTGAGGAACATGAGAAGATTTATGGGGAAACTGTTGTATGGTGACATGGAAAAGCTGCGTGAATAGATGAGCTGGTTTGAGCAATGATCTGCCACGCACCATGAATCAAGCTAGGTCTTTTCCATGAATTTGTTAATAAATTTTCTAAGCCTACATGGAGAGAGAATCTATTTTAACATAAAAAACCTTTTTTTTTTCTTTTTTTTTTTTTATAATTTTGGATCTCTAGGACTAATGACATCAGTACTGGTATGTTTTACCGTGTAATAATTTTTTTTCATGGTTGGGTTTATAGATCATTGCTTAATCTATGGAGTAAAATGTATTTGCATACAATTTTTTTCTTAGAACACGTTTTTATTTTTTTTTAATTTTTGGAAAATTTGTGCTTTAGAAGGTTTAAGAGATGTATTGATACTCAACTCTTCTTGTTTGCGAGGATTTTAGGGAGACTGCATAAGATATGTTTATGGAACTTACTAATAAATTTGAACATTGTAAGTCAACTGTATATGTTAATCGAATATATGTGCAATTCAATTCCTGTGATAAGATTCGTCTTAAGCCTGAAATGTTTCTTACATGAATCCTTGAGAAATAGACTACTAGAAAAACGAGACTATATAAAATTATACAATGAAAGAGTGCTTATAAATTAAATTTTTTTTTCCATGATTGTAAAAATTTGAATATGACATGCTATAAGCATAATATTTTCTTTTGTGATCGGTAATGTAAACTGTGTAATTAAATACAACTTTTATCATTTTTTATCAAAAAAAAATCATTCAATGAAGTATAATATCATACATGTCATATAAAAATCTCAAGGATCAACAGAAGAGAAATTAGTATTTATTCATTTACAATTAGATCTAAATATTCCATCCTACTTAATTACTACACATTGACATTTATTCCGTCAATTCTACTTAATCTCTTCACATCATCATTTACATGGCGGCTAGCAGTGGTGCGTGGAGTGGCAATCTTTCGACATGTTACTGGTGATTTTATTCTACTTCGTCGAAGTGATTTTAAATTAATTTTAAGGCTTAGATGTATTCAAAATTTTATTCATTAATTACAGTAGAAGGCCATTGAATCATCATCTTCATGGATTTCTCCATATTTTTTCGCTTTTCATCCAACCAAGTAATTGCTATCTAAAATAAAAGTTTGTTCCCATGTTTTTTTTTGTTAATTTCATTGTAGATTTGTGTTAGCAAATCCAAGACTTCAAAACATTCCACATCAATTATACTTTTTCCTCACATTCAGGTCTGTCCCGACGGCAAAACTATGGAAGCCGAAGCGGCTCATGGGACAGTTACACGACATTTCCGAGTCCACCAGAAAGGCGGCGAAACCAGCACAAACAGCATTGCTTCCATCTTTGCTTGGACACGTGGCCTGGCACATAGGTGTGAAAATTTACAACTTAGCAATTAGAATTTTGTTGTAATACTATTTTAAACTTTATTCTTTCAGCTCCACTATTGTTCCAGGCACCAAATTTACATAAATAACACCCAATTCTTTTGTTTTTACATATCTAACAACTATATTTTACTTTTTTAACTTTTATACAACCCATTTTTTTCATGTCACATAAAAAAAAATTCATTATTTAAATTTTTAAGAAATAAAATACACCGTTTCATGCACAAGTGTCGTACATGCAAAAATTTAAGTTTAGGTGTTAGATATATAAATACATAAGAATTGAGTGCCATGCATGTAAAACCTTCCAAA